AGAAGGTATTTGATTCATCTCTCTCTTCTCCATGCATAGCTTATTGGATTGTTTAAAAAATAAGTGCCCACAGTCGCAGTGCAAAACACACAGCTGTAAACCGACGTTACGTTTGGCTTCTAATATTTATATTTAATGAACGACTGCATTGAAGTTTCATCTACTTGCCCTTTTCACCATTCAAAAATATATGATCATGTAAGTGCTTATTGAGAGCTGAGCCCTCAATACGCAGTCATACGTAACATTTGGAATGGGGCATGCTGGGTCTGATATTAGTTTATCGTTTTCATCTACTTGCGAGACCGTTTAAACCGACTTCGTCAGGCCGCAAAAAATGGAGAATCCAAGAGCATGCAGAGGATAAAATGATAAATATCAACCGAAGTAAATGGTTGAAAACCATTAAAAGCCTTAAATATTTTTAAAGCGCTTTAAGCATGAGAATATGAATTTCGACTGATAGTAATACTGAACTTAGAGGATGTTTTGAAAGTTGACTTAAATCGTGCGACGCCTGAGACCTAACCTCTTTTCGAAGGTGGAAAATAACTTTCTTGTGTAGGCTCTGAAAAAGATGAGAAAAAGCTTATTCATTTGTGCTCGATTTAACTCTTGAAAGTTTTAGCTCAGATGTAAACGGCAAAAGAGTCGATTAGAACACATTTTATCTGCGTAGACATGCTACCTTGAGCAGACAGACCTGAAATATAAGTAAGATGTAACGCAAAGCATTCAAAATTAACAATCTGCGTTAGAGCTTTAGTTCTATTATGGGAATTGTGGAACACGGAATACTGAAGATAGTGGAAGGCTCACTTCTTAAACACTTTTCCTAGGACGGAAACAAAAATGTCAAAACTGTAGTGACAATAACACAACTTAACGAAACAACCCACAAGCGCGCTTAGGTAGAAGAAAAAATTCGAAAATCCTTATAATCTCTACGGTCAATTCAGTCATTGACCAGGTGGTGTTCTAAGGAAGTTGTCAATCCGACTAAGAATGAGTTACTGCGCACCTCGCTTATAGTAATGCCTTTATGACGAAGGCTTTATTAAAAACCAGTTGCATAAATTCCAATGAGTTGGAAAAACTGGCTGTTTTGTTAAAATATACGAATCGTCTTTGGATATTTAAAATTCCGATTTTATTCTATTTTCAGACCGCTCCATGGGCAAACGTTGAGGAAAAAAGTGGGCCGTCCTCATGCGAAGGTAAACAATCGCATAAGGCGCAAGAAGCATGAGTAATGAACCTCGAATTACACTCAAAGTACACATTTCGTGTTGTTACTCGTTGGAAAGTTGGCAACATACAACTGTAAATAATTTCCTTTCGTATTATGAACCATGTTTTGTGCAAACTCTATCTTATTAATGCAATCATTTGAATCTTAAAATATCTGCTTATTTGGATAGCCTAAAATAACATATTTATAGTTCGGTGTTTATTTGCAGACCATACAAGTCCAAACCGTTGGCTGTGATAATTATGCCATTGTT